TTTATGAAATAAAGGGCTTGAGACATCATCTTTGACTTTTGTTCTTCCAAGTTTTTCCATTGCTTTTTCCACCTTCCTTTCTTACTACAAAAAAACTGTAGAAGAAAAGATGAAATAACCCCACTCACAATATCTCTTAATTGGCAATGCTAGGAGCAATCTGTCTGGAAGAACCCTTAATGATATATATTATTTATTGATTTATCTTTAATATAAAATTATGATACAATTATATATTTAAGAGCAACTGCAAATATTTAGTGAAAATACATATTTTCTCTGTATAATACCATGTAGACTTCTATTTAATTATAAATGTGCACTTTAGCATTAAAGGGAAAATTGCTTCAAATATATTTTTCTGCTGTTTCAGAACTGAGAAGTGATTATGTAAATGAATATTCTTTTGGGTTGCACCAAAAAGAGACAATAATAATAAAGCTAAAATTATCCTTTACCTTAAAATAGTAAATTGTATTTTTAGATAAAAGTGTCCAATATTATGATTGAGCCCAGTTTAAACAATGACAAAAATTATTAATGAAAGGAAATGGCAGAGAGGTTACAAAATAAATCTCTCTTTACAGAAGACTTATGCTCTTGGGTAACTGAGGTAGAAATAATCTTAATGAATGTTTATCTCTCTGAGATCTGCTTCATATTAACAGATCTTGGTGCAGAATTTTATTTAATCTGTACTCTACTACCAAAGTGGATAATGGTTAACTGGACAAGAAAACACTGTATTAAACAGGCATAAAGATGTTTTAATTTGTTTCTTTTCAAAATAGTTTTGAAATCTGTTTTTCAAATTAAGTTGTCTGGAAATAAGAAGGTAAACACACAAGATTTTGGGAGGTGTGTGCTATATGTGGGAGCTTTTTTCTTTCCAACAGAAATGGCTCCAGGAAAAATGGTGGCTCCAAGAAAAACATATGGCACATGGCAGTCTCTAAGTTATTACCTATTTGGAAGGATTGTGAAAGTAAATGAGGCTGATGTGTTAAAGGCCATGAAATGCTGGCTCAAACTGTATTCTTCATATGCTTCAGTATTATTGCACTTCTTCACTTTCATCTCCATGAAATATGTGAAAGCCATTCCTTGAGTTTGCAATGTCAACGTACAGTAGATAATATAAAATGGATGAAAGGAACTAATGTTAATTTCAGCATTCTATGGATATTTAATTGTGAGCTACATAAAAAGAAATTGTGCCATAAGCTTTGAACATGAAGTTTAAACATTATATACAGTAGCTTGTGTGATAGTGCGCCAAGCTTCCTTAAAAGGCAACAGCAAAAAATAATGATGATGATGATGATATAACAGTGTGTTAATTATTTGTCTGTGATTTTTAAACATATCATTCTGTGAGTTCTGTCTAGACAACAACAAATGCCAATTTATGTCTTGAAATATTTATTTCCAGTAAATCCAATGAAAAATGTCATGCATGAATTTTATTAAATTCCATTTTTTTTCTTTCTTGTATTATTTCTCTATTAAGAACTACAAATAACATGCTCTGGTGACAGGGATGTTGAGATCTGTGCAGCCAATGGTGTTCATGTAAATGTAGATATTTTGTTCTAAAACAAGAATAAAAGCTACCATTTTTCAAGATGCTGCTCAGGTGTTGCCACAATTTAAGCATTGACATTTGACAGTCTAATGGGTAATGGGTAATAAATAAACTGGAACAAGTAGATATTATAATCATGAAACATGACAATGGAATTTGGGAGGTGGGGGAGTCCTATAAGGATTCTAGGGGTGGATGACAGTGAGTAATTTTTAAAATAAAATAAAAGATTTAAGGGACTTTTAGCATGATCACCAATCCATACTCATAAAACGAAAATTATAAATAATTGTCATATACTACCAGAGTAAGGCTCAGAGTATATTCTTTCTGTGCATTCATGAGAACTCAGTGCCACATTGATCCACTTCATGATGTAATGACAATTGGAAAAATCCTATCAATCTGTAGTGGCCAAAAGCTCCGTTTGATTCAAATCTGTTTTTGCAAATTTCCTCTCTATCTTGCTATTTCTCATTAATACCACACCACTAACACTTTGGTTCTAAATACGGATTGTGCCAGATGGACAATGTGTCAGTTTCATTTTCTCCCATCTGTACATTTTGGAACTTTTGGTATATTCTAAGCAAAACAAATGACACAAAATCTTAACCTATCCAGAGATTATTCAAACCCCTTCTCCATAAAGACTTCTTCCTGTGTTCTTCTAGTTCTGGAAACCTTTAATTCCAAACATTGGGTGTTATCACACGTGACCCAGAAACTGAAAATAAAGTGGAAATGAGGCATCCCGAAAATAAACGGGAAATAAACCTTGTTTCCGCAAACGTCATTACCTTAATTGCGAATTTACAGTAAGTGCATTGAACGTCCACACACAAGAGAAAAAAAACCATAAATGTAGTAGAAATGAGCCTCTTGCACATGTGCAGATAGAGGAATGCTCGCTGGAACCATGGCAACAGCAGGGAAATGCTCCCCAATGCGCATTTGGCAATCACATTACGGTAAATGCGTAATTACTGTAATTACGTATTTGCATTTCCTCCAGACAACTGAATTACAAAAGATCGCGGTTAACACCAGTTTCTGTCCACTTTCTGTCCAGTTTCTGTGTGACGTCATGTGAAAACACGGGGCAGTAATCCAGTTTCGGTCTGGATTTTGTGTGGATTAACCAGCAGATTTGCCCCCCGTGTGATAACATCAATTCAGGGGTATGTTGGAAGGTGCAGCCAGGATAAATTGTTAAAACCCTTTCTTTATGACAGAAACACTTTTTGTTCAAACCCAGAGTTCTTTGGGCTCCAGGTAATATATCCATGTTGTCATTAAAATTTCAGGAACACCAATTTCCTCAGAAAATCTGCAAATTTTATTTTAAACTCTCTTCAGTTTTAAAGAGCAGTATGACATTTTGTTGCAAGCTAGTGGCCCATATAGAAACTCAATGAAATTTCTCTGATGACTAATGCACCAAAACCCACAAATTCCCCTTAAGTGCAGGATCTATGACGCAAAGTAGGAAGTACTCATAGGAAAATACTGAAAATAATGCAAGCATGTGCTGTGAGGTGAGTAATTTGTCTGCAATGGCAAGAGGACATACACATAAATTCGTTTAATCTATTGCCCTTTTGGATTGTATCAGTCATCATTCTTAAAATACTTTTAAGCTGCAGGTGAGTTTATATAATGCCCCAGTTAGCTCCTGTTCTCTAGCTGCTGACAGTTAGAAATATGTCATTCGCCATCTTGATGTTTGGGTCTTCATCTTCCAAATCCCCAGCTAGCATAGACCATGGTAAGTGATTGTGGGAACTGTACCACATATTCTAGTTAACAACACCATGGTAGAATAGATGCAAGAATTTTGTTGTTATTGTTGATTTGTTTAAGAGTTAACAGGATCAGTCATATTGCATTTTCCAGCCAGAATAAAAGGGGGATCCCATTGCAAATATAAAGCAAAGCAGCTTCATTTATATACCGCTTCATAACATGCTATGGGATGTCTAAGCGGTTTACAGCTGTAAGCTCATTGCCCTCCAACAGTTGGGTACTCATTTTAGCGACCTCGGAAGGATGCAGGCCTGAGTCTAGCCTGAGCCTTGGCTAGTATTGAACTCACAACCTTGTAGTCTATGAGTGAGTGGCTGCAGTACAGGCATTTAACCACTGCGCCATGTCTCATATACCCCATCAACCTGTGATTACTTGATATGTGTTAGCAGATGGGAAGTCACCCATAGCAGAATTTACTTTTATATTTCATTGGTTGTTCCGCAATAGGGATCACTTGAATGAACAGCATGCCTGGCAAATGTTATGATTGTGACATTGATTGACTGACATCATTGTACACTGGAACTTTAGAGAAAGACACCCCCCCCCCGACATGTTGGGGAGGGGTTCTCCATTGCATCGGCCAAAAAAAGGAGGCCGGACGCTTCATTGGCTGGGCGGCGGGGGAAGTCCCACCCCTTCCTTCACTGCTCAGCCAATCAGGGTTGGATCCTTCTAGGATCCTGTCTCGTTGGTGGTCTCGCTTATCACGAGACTACCAACGAGAACAAGGGGCTATAAAGCCCCAAGGCTGCCTCGTGGCAGCAGCCATTTTAACTAGCATAGCAGCCTGTTTGGCAACCGGGGGCCTAGCGCTCGGGTCGCAGCTGCATCGGCCTTCAAGAGGCTTGTTGGACCTATAGCAGGTCACACTCTCTCAGCCCCCAGAGGAAGGGTTCTGTACAGACTGCCCCACCTTTGTTCCAGGACTCGCCCTCCATTTATAAAAGCCTTAGAAGGGGCCTTTTAAAGAGGTAGCACAGTGTTGGGTGCTACGTCGGCCTGAGAAAGAGCGGCCTGGTAAAGCGAGGGCTCTGCTCCACCGACTGTGGCCTGGGCTCGATGGGGGGCCCCGCGATTGCTCCCAAGGCTTGGGGGGGCCCCGTCGGCATTGTAAGGGAGCGGCCCAAGAGAAGGGGGCTCAGCTCTCCGGCTGCGGCCTTGGCGATGAGAGGGTCCCATTAGTTCTCCGGGCTAGGGAGGCTACAAACACAAGCTGTTAAAGGCTGAAGTTTGAGGGCCCCGTCTGTTACAGGGAGCCCTTAAATAATAATAATAATAACAATAATAATAATAACAATAACAATAACAATAATTTTTTAAAAAGAGGCTTGCAAGGTGCAAGCAGGAAGCCTTTGGAGGCCTAAAATGGCAGATAGGATATAATCTGCCTGATATCATGGGTGTGGCTGCTGTGCAAGCCATTAATATTATATAGATAGATAGATAGATAGATAGATAGATAGATAGATAGATATAGATATAGATATAGATATATATAAGCAGGAGGCCTTTGAAGGCTATAAACAAAAGCCGATAAAGTTTGAGGGCCCTGATTGTCACAGGGAGCCCTTAAATTGTTTAATTAAAAAGAAAAGTGACCAGAGTCAGTGTGGTGTAGTGGTTTGAGCATTGGACTATGACTCTGGAGACCAGGGTTCGAATCCGGGTTTAGCCATGTAAACAACTGGGTGATCTTGGGCAAGTCATAGGGCCTTTGCAGATTGCCAGAAATAGTGCAAATGGAGTCCACTTTAACTGCCTGGCTCAGTACTAAGGAATCATGGGAACTGTAGTTTTTAATAAAACATAGTATAAGCTGGGGGCCTTTGGAGGCTTGGCCAGGTTGGGCAGCAGTCTGCATGGTATCCTGGATATCTGTGCTGTCCCATTAACCATAACAATAAATAATATAATTACAATAATAATAATAATAATAATAATAATAATAATAATAATAATAATAAACAAAAACAAACACACACACACTCACACAGTCGCCACGCTTGCCAAGGGGTGTTAGCTTGGCTTCTATGTCCCATAAAGGGAAGTTTTGGGCATTTTGGTGTCCAATGTAACTGGTAGGCCCTTTGGTTGGGTTTCTACCTGGTGATTCTACACTAGCCAGAGTATTCTGGCTGGGTTCTGGTGTCCCACAAAGGGAAGTGATTGGCCTTTGGCCATTAACCTTGTCTCTATTTTGGGAAAGGTTGCTTGTTGTGTTTAGGGCCCTTCGTTGATGCAGTTCCAATTTAGAGCTGTGTTGCGAGAGAATTGAGACATGCTGGTTCGCCGGCGGCCCAGTTATCGGCCCATTTGTTTTGGATAGGGCAGCGACTGATGCTGCTTCACAGGGTGGGATGATACCACAATCCGACAGATTGGCCGTGGGCGGTCCAGCGCTTTTAGTCCTATATTCGCCCATAAGTTATGGGTGGGGCATAGCATTATCTAGTTGTGGGTCAGTGTTATACTTAATATGTTGTTTCTTTTAAAGCAGATCAGAAGTTTGAGGATGTTCGATCACTAGACACAGTCTTGTGTTCTGGGCAGAACGTCATGTGCTACAATCTTGTCATGATCGGAATCTGGCGATAAGAGGGTTTCAGCGAACGCAATGGTTCGATGAGAGAGGAAGACTTTGGGGAGCTCTCATTTCACGCATCATTAATTATCTGAGGCATTTTCACCACCCAAGATTCTTTTGATACATATGGGAGAGAATGACCTTGTTAAACTACCTGGTTTTAAGTTGGACAAAATGAGCTTGACAGACATGCAAGACATTAAGAGGAGACTCTCGAACATGGTGGTGATGTGGACCAAGTTTTTGCCGCGACGTGCGCGAGTGGGATAGATAGATAGATACATCATTGGCTGAATAGATTCTTGGTTGGAAAGTTGGGAGTTTTGGGTATTGAAATTGTGGAGCATAGGACTATTCAAAACTATAGGCCATACTTTTACAGGGGCGATGGTGTTCATCTATCCCCCACCTGTTTTGATGTATGCTTTGAGTCTATCTCTCGTCATATTGAACGAGCTCTCCGGGGTGGGGGGGGAGGGGATGCCAAGCTAGGCTGGCCCCCTCCTGTGGTGGGCAGGATCCCCCCCCCGGGAATAAGTTAGTTAATTAAAATTACGAAATTGGTTCAAATTTAAGTGGACAAAGAGTATACGTCAAAAGGGGTTAATCCATTTGTTGCTATGTCGTCACCCAACAATTTGATGACGTCATGGACATGTTACATCATGAGCTGAATTATGATGTCATTTTGTTTGGGGAGAGATGAATTATTCGAGGTGGGGTTTATTTAGAACTTGAATGTTCTTGACACATGAATTAAAGGGATGGATTGACACAGTTGGTTAAATTAGATATGTATAAAAACACATGTGTCAAGAACATTAAAATTTTTGGTTAAAGTGAAGTGTTAAAAATTGTTGATTACTCTGTAAAATAAAGTTGTGGCCATGTTTTATAACCATAAAGTTGAGTACGGTGTCATTTTTTGTGCCGGTGCAATACAAGAAGACAAGGTTTGCCCCAATGGACTTTCAATCAAAAATTCAACATTGGAGGCAATTTGTGGTCATTTCATCTAGGGCATGTAACATGTGAATTGGCCCCTAGAGGGTCTGTGCCCTTGAGTTATATGGAGAAGTGTTAAAAATGCACTGGGGGAGGGAGGAAAAAAGAACAGATTAACACACTGAGATGTGGAATGGGTTTATGAAGGGGTGGCCAAGAAAGAAAGTACCATCTTTCATCAAAACAGTGTAGTTCACATCCCCTAGCTGAAAATGCTGACTGATTAAATTGGCAAAAAGAAATGTGCAATTGTGGTTGTTTGTTTGTTTGTTTTTTATTGTTTGGGATCATCAGTAACTTAGAAAATAAAGGGAAAGTTTTTGGATGCTACATTTATGTGTGGTGCAAATCAGTCTCAAACATGGGAATAGCAGTTCTACTCATCAGGTGGATACTTTTGAGCCACTGTGGATCATATATCATAACAAAAGCAATAAAATAAAATAAAAATTGTAGGGCACAGGATAGAGTGTTGTTTTCTTCCTGTTTATTGGGCTCCTAGAGAAAAACACACTTTCCAGTTCAATCAAAACAAATAGGGGAGAATTAGCTACTCTCAATACATCTCAGGTATAATGAGGGTATGAGAATTGTGTGCATCTGCTACAACCTACCCCTGGAACACATCATTTTGCCCACCCCCAAACACTTGCTGAACTCCATGAGTGGGACCATGCCTGTGGAATTTTCTGCCACTCCACCAAGAAGACTCTTAACCAAAGACTTATATCTCTTTCTGCAGAGAGGTACAGCATCATCCTACAGCTCCTGAGCACCCATCCCCAGGTGATCAGGTTTGCCCCCAAAAGACCTTTAATGCATATTATAAATAGACATCAAGTTAGTTTTTTGTGGGTTTTTCGGGCTGTGTGGCCATGTTCTAGAAGTGTTTCTTTCTGACGTTTCGCCAGCATCTGTGGCTGGCATCTTCAGAGAAAAAACATCAAGTTATCCTGCAGCACATTTGAGACTAACAGGGGGGAAGAAAGTTCTAGCTTACATGGACTGTATCCACAAAAGCTTCTGTTAGAAATTTCTTCTTTCCAGTCAATCTCAAGCATGCTGGATTCCCTTGTGGCTTTTTAGGCAAACAGATTTGCACAGCTTTCTCTTAAATATGATACTTTATATCAGATTAAGTGACCTGTTTGAAAATGTGACTTTATTGATATGTTTTGTTCTTTCCCAACATGTAAATAGATCGTTGAAATAGCTACAGATAGAGATGCAGACTTAAATAATAATTTTAAAGGAGAATTTGGTGTCAACTTGAAACATTGTTATACTAATATCCCTTAAGTCAGAAATAATAAGCTACATTCCATGAATTGGAAATACACACTGTAATCTTATATAAATGTACATTGTATGTATGTATATGTGCCTCTTGTTGTGTACATATTTGCTCTTTTAACATTTGTATATATGTATAAATATTAAACATAATTTTAAAATCTCATAAAAGGAGGAATCAAATTTATAGGGGCAAGTGAAAAATTCATTTTCTGATCTAAGAGCAGTTTGTATGATAAATAAGGATAATATTATGACAACAGTATAAATATTGCCTCTACTGTTGTAAGTATCTTGTTGTCTAAAATGAATTCCCAGAATATGTCAAGTTTATCTGTCCACTCTTCCCTCTACTGAAGTCTTCCTCTATCTGATGCTATCAAGGTATTTTACATTACAGTTCCCAGGTTCCCTCACCAAGTTGCTTTGTTACCTTGGGCTGATGGGCAAAAGGCATGCTCCTGAGGAAGGCTGCTCTATTTACCTATTTTGATTGCTGTTTTAAGGTCTTTGGGAAGCTTGGCTTCACCATTAAAAGCTAAATTTGACAGTGCTGCACCTTTTCTAAGCAGCGGGGTGTACTGAGTATGCAACTCTCTGCTTTATATATATATATAAAGGATATGATGAAGATGAAGGTGAAAGATAGAGAAAAAAAATAACCGGTCTGACTCAATATAAGACAATTTCTTGTATTTCTACTGTGGGAAGCAGGGAGAATACATCTGTTATGTCTACCTCGGGGTATTTGCTCTTTCACATACTTGTTGCATTGATAAAGGGGTAAAATCAATACGCAATGCTGACTGATGCTTTCTCAAATGAAGAAACATGCCATAGCACTATGATAACTGCTCACATAACACTTTTCTCCCACTAGGAAAATAGGAGGGAGGAAGAAGGAGATGTGAAACAAGCAGCCATCATGGTGCTGTGCCATGTTTCCTGAGATGGGTAAACACAGTCTTATGGAGGAGTGCCATTCTTGACTCTTCTCTGGCCTTTGTTCTACAAAAGATAAAATAGAAATTGAACACACACTGAGGTATATCACTGTTTCTAGAAAAGAAAAGAAAGCACACTGTAGCAGTCATGTAGTAGTGATAAAAGATTTGATATGATCGTAAGGCTGCAGAAAACTCTCAAACATTTAGCAAAGAGTCCATATTTGTGCTGGAGGTCTTGAGGAGAGCAGAAACTTGGCAATAACCCCAAATACTTAGTCTAACAGCAGTATTAGAAAAGAAGCCTTGTCCAAGGGAACTATTTTGTTCTGATACGATAACAATTTTCAATTTGATATGATCCTAATATTTGGCTACAGAAAACTCCCAAGCATTTAGCAAGGAATCAATTTCTCCAAAAAAAATGAAATTTTGCCAAGAACCTACTGGGCATTGGTGCTAGCAACCTTCCTCTTTTCTGACAACCTTCTACCAACCTTCTAGTGAATTCTCTCTTCTCATGATATGTCCAAAGTACAGTAGGCTCAGTTTGGTCATCTTGATTTCCAAGGAGAGTGCAGGCTTGCTTTGCTCTAGGATCCATTGATTTGTCTTTTTAGCAATCCACAGAATCTACAGAACTCTTCTCCAGCACCACATTTCAAATTTTTTTTCCCTATCAGATTTCTTCACTGTTCAGCTTTCACAACCATACATAGAAATGGGAAATATGATGACGTGAACAGTCCTAACTTTAATATTCAATAATATATCAGTGCACAAACTAACCAGATAGGGTAATAAAATGCAGCCTTGCTTTATCCAATTCCTTTACTCCATATTCTGTCC